CTTCGATGCAACCGTGCATTTGCTTCTGTATCTCATCGATGGTCAGCACTTTGTACACAAACTCCTGAGCGAACCTCGGCTTCGCCTCTTCCGTACTGAGACTCATCTCGATGTCTGAATCGCATATCATATCGTCGTTGTCATCGCTGTCGTGGTTGGGGTCCGACATCCCGGTCGCCAATCAGTGATTGATTCAAATCTATTGAATAGTTTGTAAATCAGATAAAAGCTGTCCGTTGAGTGAGATTTGAAATAAACTATTCAAACGACAAAACAAGTGTAATATCTAGTAGTAAATCACTTGTTAGACACAATTACTAATTTAGAAATAATTAATTTAAATGTGCGAGATTATAATGTAAAATGAAAATTTAAATACAAATTCCGTTAAAAACTGATTTGAATTCTCAATAAAATTAACGGAATTTCTCTTTTTAACGGTTTTCGTAGAAATCTTTAACAGAAAACCCGTTATTTTTGAAACCACTGAAGAATATTTCAATGGATTCACTCAAATTCTGGTATATTTTGAGCTATTCTTTGCTTATTTATAATTCAAATCTTATACCAAATAAACGAAAACTTAATTTCTTTTAGAAAAGAGTTTTATTTAGGAATAAATCATTTCAAACATAATTTTGATAAAAGTCTTTGGGGTTTGAAGTCTTGATTCCGAGGGAACGACACTTCACTCCTCCTCCTTTCCTCCGGAGTGCGATCTCCTTCTCCTTCTTCGTCGTCCACCACTTTTTCCCTTCGAATGGGAACGCCTTCGGCGTCGACCCCCTTTCTATGATCAACTGCCGGAAGCCTTCAAACGGGCCAACCCTATCGCACCGGGAGGTGGCATCAAAACACCGCCGCCCAGTCATCGGCCACCCATTCCCGAAGATGCAGAGCCTGTGGAACGGGATCCAAACCGTGGGGTTAGAGCCCAACGAAGTGGTCCGATGGGCGCACCGGCAGGACAGACGTACGGTGGTCTCGACGAACCGGTGGGCCGCCAGCCGTGGGATATCACGGAAGAGGAGAAGGGACGAGACCTGGATTACGCTCATCAGGTGTACCTCAAGAGGCCTCAGTGGTGGAGGGATGAGAACCCGGAGCTGCCAGGGGGTGGGTTCCGAGTGCCGCCCCGTATGGACGCACCCCTACCCCCGCCCGGAGGCATCCAAGTGAGACAAATCAGTCCCAGACAGCAATGAGAGTCCGAATGAGATATTCAAATAAAATATGATTTTTCTGATGCTTTCAAATTGGCGTTCATTTCGTTATTTGTATGATATCTTGGGTGTAAAACATGTATTCATTGGAAACTATATTACTTTTTATGTGTTAAATATATATGAATTAGTAATAGTCTGTGTATAACACGATTCTATCATATATTGAAATGATTCCTAACTTGTGTGCCATTCATAGACCAGAATATTCTTGAGTCACGGCTTGTGTTTAGCGCTGACGAGAACATTGCGGGCAATACTGACACCTATTGGCGGGTCTCTCACACGCCGTACGTCTCAATGGCTACTGTTGTAAACGATTGACGCAATGCTTGTATGCGTTCAGTGAGTCAATCACAACAACAACACAACTGTCATCTCAACACACCATCCATTGAATCCATTGAATCCAGTGATACCATCACTCAAGCCATGGACCAAATGGATGATAATAACCTTCGCTACGAACTCGAGTCACGGGGACAGTCCATCGGACCCATTGTCGGTATGTCTTAACCACTGATTGTCTCTTAAATTGAGATTTTGTTTACAAACTCACGATTTGGATGTCATTTCATGTCTTGTGATCTCATGTCAGACTCGACTCGTGAGTTGTATCGACGACTCCTCAAGCGATTGATGGACGAAGAGTTGGATCAACTGATTGGCGGACAGCAGGAGCCCATCGACGCCGACGACGACACCGAAGAGGAGGACGAGGAGGAAGAGCTGGACATCCATTCAGTGAATTCCGGCGCGAAGACAGCGATTGAACCGAAATCGTCGTTCAGATCAA